TATATATATATATATATATATGATTTTATTTTATTTTTTTAATTAATTGTATTGCAGTATTTTTTGTGCAACATAGTAAAATACTGTAAGAAACCCCTTGAGAATAATGAGAATTATGATTAAACCCAAAAATATAAAGACAAAACATCAGGACACATTACAGTAATGATAACTGGAGGAAATATGCATAATTTAAGTATAAATAATATACACCTTTATAGGAAGCATCTGATTGGCTGAGAATATTCTGAAATCCGGTGAGAATGGCTTTCACACCACCCTGTCAAGAGAAAAAGAACATGATGGGTCACATTTCCTCATAAATACAGTAAAGTTTATTTAATCTGGCTGGTCACAGTATTCAAATCATTATTGACAAATCAGTTGTAAACCTTAAAAATCCAGACTCCTTTCTAGAGCTAAAATAACAAAAAATCTCAAATTGCTAAAAGGTTTGCATAAGGTCATCTTGTTCCTGCTACGTAGATTCTTTGGTTTCAAGTATACTCTTTCAACTGGTTACTGGAACAAAACTTTCTACCAATTGAAGGTAGGTAACTTAGACAAAAGGTCTTGTGGAATAAGATATGTCACTGTGTAGCATCAATAAGTAATAGCAGCATACATAAATAAATCAGTTTGGCATGAGATAAGAGTCTGACCTGCTGGTAGAGCAGCTTTGCGTTGTTGTGGTGGCCTTTCACGGCTCCTAACAGACTCTGCAACACGTGGCCCAAAACCTCCAGGTCCGGAGAGCTGCTGGCTAACAGCTGCAGCTCCATCAAGCAGATCTCCGGGAACAGCAGACGGCCGCGGCCGGAGCCCTGAGGCACTCCTGCCATTCCTAACGTACATTCCCCCAATGAGACTACAGCCTCCACCTTTATCCCTGTCACAGGAAGACAGAAGACGGACTATAAGTAACACAATAATAATAAAATAATAAATGGTGGTGCTGCAAGAGTACATACAGAAGGACTGAAGAGCAAGTACAGTATGTACAGATGCAGCTCACAGCACTCAGAGCTCCTGCTCAGTAAAATTAATTAAGCTGATGGAGGTGCCACACACCAGAGAACCCGCATGATTTAACTGTGGACTACCCTGCAGCTCCTACGCAAGATCCACACACACACACACACACACACACACACAGAGCACTCTGTCACAAACATCCTTACACACATAGCCTATATAAATAGACAGACAGAAAGACAGATAGATAGATAGATATATAGAAAGATAGAGACAGCGTTACAGATAGATAAAAATAAAATAGAAAGACATTTAGAAACACAGTGTTGTCAAAAGTACCGAAGTCGGTACCAGTCGGTACTGAAATTTTAAAGATGTAATGATGCCAGCATTTCCCACTACTGTATCTGTTTCCCGTGTGTATCTGTGTAAGCGCTCAGTGAAGAGCATGAAGCGATGATCATTGTAGTCAATCACAGACATATCTGTTGAGTGCGTGAACACAAAGGCCAATCAGAGGTGTTTGAGAATCCACACAACAGTGCTCAAAATGCTAGCGGGAAATGCTGGTATCATCACATTTTTAACATTTAAGTACCCAGTGGTACCGCCATCTGTACTTCTGACAACACTAGAAACACATATAGGCCTATAGACAGACACAGCGAAAGAAAAGCGAACAAACGAACGATACATAGATAGATAAAACGATAGAAAGACAAACATGATAGACAAATGAAGACAGAGAACGACGGATAAAACAATAGAGAGAGACAGACAAACAGACAGTAGACATGAGTGATAGGCATGTTTCTTTGTCTAAATGAATGAAATTACAGTATTGTCACATCAGTGGATTAACAGAACAGATTCTGAAATCAAACTCCACAATCTATTCTAAACCACATTCAGTTCTCTTTCACAGTCAGACTGCAAACACACAGACCGGACTCTGCCATTTCAAGCTTTGCCTTCAGTTCCCTCCATTATAAATTAGATCAACCACAAGCCCTCGTGTGAAAGCGAATGAACTTACAAAATCATGCACATATCTGTGTATGTAATAGACTGGTCAGAAGCTGCAGTCACAAGACATGGCTCAACACGGCGGTCTTACATCATAGCCCAAAGGAAACAATGACACCATTATCAGGGCGAGAGAGCCAGCGCTGCATGTGACTAGAGAACAGGATCACGTATCGCTTGACCAGACGTTCACTCAGCCTACCTGACACTAACCGGCTCAGACCGGCTAACGCATTCTAGAAACTTCCCCTGCTATCAGTTACTATGCACTTCTCAGCCTGGCTAACTGTGATGATAATTAGTTTGCACTCTCATTTCAGGATGTTAACATTAACATAATGAGCCTTTAAAGCCAACAACCTACACAAGATTCTTTTGGCTCTGGATAATATGCACATACACTCTACAGTTAAACACAAGTGTCAGCACACAAATGACCAGCACAATGCAGACTCTCATGTCAGTATAAATGGGTGGTACTACCTTCCTCCTGACGGATGGAGTCCTCAGGGTTACTTTCACTGTCTGCGTCATAGCCTTCCTCTTCTCCCAAGGGTGGAGTGCCACTCACCTGAGCTTCATCCACCTCCTCTGACAGATCACCTGCTGGAGGTGCCACCTCACCGCTAACCTGAGACTTCTGCACAGAACGACATAAAGATCAGTACTAGATGGAAGGATGGATTATAATATAAAATAAAACAAACAGAAATTAAGAAATAATTAAAATAAAATAGATTAAACATTTTTATAATATAATAAAATAATAGGATTATTCAAATATAAATATACTCTACTAATAACAAAAATACTAGACTGAGAGATGATAATAAAAAAAACAATATAAAATATAGAGTTAAATATTAAATATAATGTACAATTTTTTATTTTATAACATGTACAATTTATGTATTTACAATAAGGTTCATTAGTTAACATTAGTTACCTACTTTAGTTAACATGAACTAAGAATGAACAATACTTCTACAGCATTTTGTTAATCTTAGTTAGGCCTGGGCGATAAAACGGTATCGATATTTATCGACGGTACACCTTCTTCGATAACGATATAAAAAATGTTCGATATAGTGCATGACATAGGCACATGCTATGAGTGACGCAGACAGCACACACAAACAAGAACACATGCTGAATTGAGTGCTGTGCCTGCATGTGATGAGATTGCGAATAAAAAAATTAATATTAGTCGAATTTAAAATAAACATTTGCATTTAAATGTTTGGAGTGCGTCAGGGAGCGGCATCAGTGGCGCACGAGATGCAGTGATGATGTAAGTGACGTTGTTGCATTTTTATGTTTTGTTTAGTCTAACCCATGAGATGCACCGCTGCTGTGTTATGCATTCAAAATATTAAGAGAAATATAGAAGCTCAATGCGGAGAAGATCTTGATTAGGCGAAAACCGAAACCAAGCCATTCACACAGAACGCATATTCAGCGCATTTTCTAGATGGACAAATATGACTGCTGCACTCGCGTCTCTCACAAGAGATGTATAGAAAGCCATGCAAAGTTAAAACAGTTTAAACTTTTAGAAAACACGTCACAAATTTGTGGAGGTTTATTCCTTTTCACTGCGTCTACGTTAAATGCAATCTGCGTGATGGGCGAACTCGCGTCTCACACAAGAGATGTATAGAAAGCCATGCAAAGTTAAAACAGTTTAAACTTTTAGAAAACACGTCGCGAATTTGTGGAGGTTTATTCCTTTTCACTGCGTCTACGTTAAATGCAATCTGCGTGATGGGCGATTCAGCTCTTTGTATTAAGCAATGCATAAATACATGATGCTGTTTCGTTCATAATTGTTTATGCAATTTACAAAATTATATTTGATTTATATGAGTTAATTTAGACGTAATGCAGTTTTTTTTTAATAGACATTTATTTCCTTGCGTTGACAATTTACATGCGCTGCATTATTTTGCTCATTGCGCCCTCATGTGGCCCCGGGAGACAAGCCAAAAGTTTCCTTAAGACCCATTTAATCTGCATATAAATCATTAGAAATTAGATATTTGTTTAATTTTTATTGTGTGTTTGACTGTTAAAACAAAAAATATTTGTTGTTTGTCTCAATAAATTGGGTTAATTTAAAAATACAGTGGTTAAATTTTAACATTTTTTTCTATTGCTCTGTTTTACAAAAGGTTATAAAAAATGTCAATAATTATCGATACCGAATGATATGAAACATTATATCGTTGATAAATATTTTAGCTATATCGCCCAGCCCTAATCTTAGTTAATGTTAATTTCAACATTTATTAATGCATTATTAAAATCAAAAGTTGTGCTTGTTAACATTAGTTAATGCACTGTGAATTAACATGAACTAACAATGAGCGACTGTATTTTCATTAACTAACATTAACAAAGATTAATAAATACTGTAATAAATGTATTGTTCATTGTTCGTTCATGTTAGTTAATACATTAACTAACATGAACTAATGGAACCTTATTGTAAAGTGTTACCTATGATAAAATAAAATATACTTTATTATTATACTACTACTACTAGATGGAGGGATGAATTATAAATAAAATAATTTGATCATAAATTTTCAGTGACAAGAAATGTATAATTTTAGATCAATAGGTGGCACCAAATTTAGAAACCATCAAGTAACCAATTGTATGCGGCATTATCAGGGAATTGTACCATACAAGCTTTATGTGGATATTCAAAACCTTTGCTCAGATACTGCCTCACTTCCTGTTTTGTCTTCACTTGCACTTTCATTATGGTTTTTCTGAAGCATTGTGTAGAATAGATGAGAGAAGAACTGATTATGATTTGAGCCTTTTTTTTTTTAAGATTGTACAAACTTTGTAAGACCAGTGAAAATTGTGTGTAAAACGCTGCACTGCAATGATAAGCATGCTCCTATGCGTCAGCCTAATACCTCAAAGCACTGCAAAGACACTAATTTTACCATTTGGTAACTAATAAAAACTTCAGTTTATTATTAGTTTATTTATTAATAAAAAATAAAAAAAATAAATAAAAGGACTATGTGTTCATCAAAGTTTAAAAAAAAACACAAGCACACAGAGTAACCACTTCTAAATTTGAGAGCTTTCATTTCCCTACAGCGCAACATATCAGAAGTTTAAAAAATAAATATAAATAAATAAACAACAGTAGCAAAGTAGATTAAAGCAAAGCAGGCAGCAGATTCTTACCTTCTAGAAAATGAGCACATTTCAGAATAAAATACTGTTGCATTGCAACAAATTAAAGTAAACAATCCTTATAACATTGCTTCTAGTGTTGTATTTGTTAGAGAGACAAAGTTTGTGATTTCAGAAAGCTGGTAAAGTAAAAAAAATAAAATATGATTTTGGTCACAGGACCACATCAGCTGACTGTTTCCACATAAAATATATCCCCCTTGTGCCCCACAGTACTCAATCACACAAATACACACAAAAAGGCTGTTTATCCGTGTTTTGGCCAGAAGTCAGAAAGCAGATTTACTTAAAGAACTAAAGAGTGCCAAAATAAATCTTACTGTGTCCAAATTATAAGTTTTATTTGGGAATTATTCTGTGATATGTTCCACTTCAGACAATACTGCTGGTAAGAAAAGCCCTCAATGCAACCGAAAGCATCAACTAAGCTAGTTATATAAATCTTGCAACCTCCCTATCGATTTTGTATTTAGTCACCAAATACTAAATACACCAAATATTTAGGCTTTGGAATACCCTGCCTTTAGAAATTAGAATGGCCCCTTCTCTGCCTGTCTTTAAGTCCCTGCTAAAAACCTATCTGTTTTCCTTAGTGTATTGATTACTGTTATTCTGTAATTTTTTAATGGGTTGTTCATATTTTTTATTTGGCTTGCTTTCGGTGTATGTTTATATAAATTTCTCTTCTGTAAAGCACTTTGGTCAGCCTAGCGGCTGCTGTAAATGTGCTATACAAATAAAATGAACTTGAAAAGTTCATATTATTTTATTAACTTTCCTAAGTTTTAGACCGCAGGCAGTGAAAGGAAACCATGTGGTTGGGTGAGACGAAAGAGGGGCAATGTGGTGAGGATCAGACTCAAACCTGAGTCACCCAAAAGCACAGCAGGGATGTACAGGACGGTAACACTACAGACTTATTACACAAGCAACCAAATTACCTTGTCAGGTTTCTCCTTGATGACATCTGGACTGCAGAACATCTCAGCTAATGCCACATGTAGTAAGGAATCAAACAGAGGAACTGCAAGTTCGGAATTCACAACTCCAGATCGAGAGAGCTGATCCCTGACCTCACACAGCGTCTCCTCTACGGACTGAAGCTATGGGATAGAGCGTGGGAAAATTACACTAGTCGAGAATGAGCACAGGACATAGTCACTCACTTCAAAATGGCATTCAATAGCTGTGCTCCAAAACCTAGTGTGCCTACACTGACAGCATTTTCAGGCATCATTTAAGGTTCCTGATGCAACATTACATTTCTCCCTTATTAAGAAGGTAATTGCAGAATGCAGTGCAATGAGCTCAATAAAAAGAAAAATCATTGGACAAAATGTCTTAAATCTAATAAAACTCACAATTATTACTGAATTCACTGTATTGTCAATGAATTTTTTGTGCTTAAGCCCAATGTGTACTTCGGTCTTAACACATATGGTCAAGTATGTATAGCCAGATTTCACTCCGTATGCTTTGCTTGCACATGCTCCTCGATTTTTTTTTTTTTTTGCATTAATTACTTTGTCCACAAGGTGGGTGGGATGTTGTTACTCAGTCTAAAAAGAAACAAATGAGACAGAACAACAACAAACTACTACAGATGCAACAACTAAAACAACAACCCATGTTTGCGACTGCAGATACCCACAACTGTAGTTTAAACAAGAGCAAAGTCATGTTTTATAGGGCAAAAAAGGATGAAGCTTTCTAATATGCATGTGTTGAGCACCTGTGTTTGTGTACGCTATCAAAGGGAGTATACTTTAAAAGGCTATGCGTTCTGCTATATGAATACACTAAGCGTTCTCATCAAATCTGAAGTATATTTTGGGCTTTAGGTATAGGGTGACCATATGTCCTCTTTTTCCCCAGACGTGTCCTGGCCGGGATTTCTAAATTGCCTAAAAAATCTGGGCTTTGTTTTCATACTTGCTGAAGGTAATGACTGAAAAGTAGTTTGACCAAAAACGTACAGGCATTGTACATGATCGACCAATCGTGGAGTGTGAGAAGGTGGGATCTACAGAGCATGGTCAAAGCAATGCAAATACAAGCACTTATTATGTATGAGGACTCTAGAGAGCACGTCAATAGGAAAACAAAGCCAAAACCCGGACATTTTAGGCAATTTAGAAATCCCGGCGAGGACATGTCCAGGACAAAGAGGACGTATGGTCACCCTACTTTAGGGGTTCTGAGTTGTTAGCTTAGCAGCAAGCTAATGTCACACTGTATACTGTCTCTTGGGCATTTAATTTGAGTAGTGACCTGTTCACACAGGACTTGTTCCAGACAATTATAAAGCAGCTCACTAGGGTTTGAAACAGAGCTAGTGTGTGTGTCCACTGTACCTGAAAGGAAAGGTCTGGTTCAAATCTCTGTAGGGCTGAATTGGCACTGTGGAGGCAGATTGCCAAAAGCGCCTCCAGCAGTCGGATGCTCTGGAGAGGCCATTCCTCTTCAAGCCTGTGCGTTGGGTCACTTGATTTGCTCTCGACCTGAGAGGGGCTGACAGTGTCATGCTGGTGGGTTTCCTCTGTACCTGCAGCTGTCGCTTTATTGTCAAAATGTCCTGTAAGACCTTGAGTGGGAGAGTCTACATGAGATGGACTGCTTTTGCCCTTACTCTCTCTCTTTTTCTTAAATTTACTGTCTTTGATTTTAGACGTGAGTTTCTGGATAACCATTGTCATTAGACGCAAACAGACATCTAGACCTCCCAGTCTAAAGAACTGCCTCTGGAATACTGGACTGGCCATGTATACCCAACGGCATACTGACCAAACATCGGCAGCCCTCCTTATCTGTTCTTTAGAGGGAAGAGCCACACTGTCTGGGGAAAGGCAGGGCAGTCGCCCACCCAATGGCTCACTAGCTGTACTATCATAGCCAGAGGTGTCTTCAGAGTCATTAGCAGAGTCTCTGTCAGAGTCCGCCTCCTTGCTTACACATAGGAAGGCAACACACAGAAAAAGGTTGATTGTGTTTAAATGCGCCTCACCTCGGTTACGCCCTACTGCAGAAAATGCACTTTTGCCCTTTGGGTGAGGGCATGCCTCTTTCAGGCCTTCATAAAACTTAGTGAGGCTTTGAGGTCCATCACAAGCCCCACGTGAACTCAGTTCCTCTACAAGCCCAAGAACAGCTTCCCTCTCCTGAGCTTCTGCTCTTTCTAGCTCATGCACAGCAGAATCCATGTGATGGTGCCACGCATTCAAAATAAGTGTCTCGAACACTTTCAGTGCCCATGGACGAGTGCAATCCAAGTAGATCAACTCTGTGATTTGTTTCAGTCCGTTACAACTCAGGAACAGGTCACGTACCACCTGGCTGAGTTGGAATACAAAATCAGAAGTTAAATTCATAAAGGACATTGGAATCTCAGATTATTTTAAAGGCTGATATAGGGGACTTTCACACTGGCACTTTAGTTCAAAACAGAGGATGGGTTGCATGAAAAATTGTTAATGTGAAAGTTTTCATGCAGACCTGGGAGTGCACTGCAGTATCGAACTGGAAACTACCTGTAGGAGGTGATCTGAGTTCAGCTGCAAAGGAAATGAATGGCACGGGTGATGATTTACCTTGGATACAAGTAAGAGTGAGCATGCAGTGTAATCATGCAAAGTGAGTGCAATCTGAGCAGCAAACGAATGGCTCGCAATCAACTGTCTCCTCAAAAGAGACTGTTTGCAAGTAGCAGAATGGCATCTTCATGTGATGCACATACAGTAGACACAAGCGTTGTTTATTCTGCTGTGCATAATAGCACCTAATTAATAAAAATATATTGACCCATGTTGTGTTTTCGATCATGCGCAGTGAAAATTTGTTATGGCATAAGATGAACTCAAATGCACCAGGGTTCGACAGAATCAAGTGAGTCTGAAACCAGTCCAACACTGCAGAAGGTGTCTCACTCAGATTCGGACCGCAGTAAACGTGCTCAGTGTCAAAGCCCCCTTAAAGAACCTAAACAACAGTGAATTAGAGGAGTAAGAGAGAAAAAAAAATGGTCATACCTTGACTTTAGCAGAGCAGGCAGAGTTTGAAGATAAACCAGTAGTACCTCAACCGGGGGGCAATGGGTATGGTAGCTGCAGACTTGGCTACAAGTAGTTGACACACCAAGTTGCTGGGCATGATGGGTCAGTTCCACACCCCGCTGAAGTACTGGGTTAAAAATATGAGTGTAGAGTTGCCATTGCACTACTGCATTGCCTCGTAAAGTCAACTGGCATACATGACCGGCAATTTGTTGACTCAAATGCCAGTCTTCCCCAAACACAATTTCTTGATAGGCCTCTAAAGCATCCCACTTCCATAGCATGTCTTCAGCTCCTCCACTGGGCAGAATACCTTGGGAACGATAAGAGGGAGATTGGGACGTGGATAAGTTCGATTCTTTCTTAGGTCCATAGCCCTGCAGAGTCTCTTCAAGGCCAGGTAACTGGCTATTATCCAAGGTGCAAATGTTGCAGGAGGCAAGCTTGGCCTTTTCGGAAGGTTGACCACCTCCAAGCTGTTCTAAGACTAGTCTACTAAGGACGCTCAACACGTGGGACTGGTAGCTCCGAAGTCCTGGAGCCTGAAATGCCTGGAGCATTGGTCCAATTACGGACCTTGGATCCATGCAGCAACAGATGCCAACAGCTTGCACTCCTGCCAGTACCTGCAGCACAGCAGGACCTGAGGGTGAGAGGCGCTGGAAAAGACGCAAGCATTGGTGGGCACATGCTGCAAGGCAACAACAGCGTTCGGGGTACCGCACTTCCCCGTCATGACCCTCGGAGTCCTCCTCAAAGGGATTACGTCGGGCTGCCTGCTTGAAAGTGGATACCGGCAGTCCTGAGAGGTCACGGTGATGGTGCAAAAAGTGGGAGTATTCGCAGTGACGATGTCGACGACGTGCACAAACAGACTGGTGTAGCTGCTCTGACTTGGCCCTCTTGACCGCACTGATTATCTTAAATACATCTGCTATCAGACAACGCAGACGCTCTGATGCCTCACTGCCGACTTCTGAATCTCGAGCTTCTGCTAAGGCCTCAAGGCGCAGAGCTGTTGCCTCGAAGAGCTCCAAGCCACGGTGTTGGACAAATTCATGAACTAACTCAAGAGACTGACTGAAAAAGAAAGGGTTGGGAGCAGAGGCCTGTAAACAACCTAGTAGTAACTGCAGGACACCCTCCAAGAGCTCTGGCAGTAGCAAGGCCCGGTGACGGTACCTTGAAAAGGAAAAATCCTCTTGTATCTCCTGCAGAGTCTTCTTTGGCCTTGGCGCAAAAGGGTCGGCTTGCCTTTCTAAACAGGTACGAATCTTTAAAGTTGCTCTGAAGAGGTCCATCAAGCTTCGACGCAGATTATCAGGCAGTGTCTCATTTTGACCCACATCTACAAACATCAAGTGCAGAATGGTGCGTAAAAGCATCCTTTGAACAAGTGCAATTGGCTCCTCAGTCCAGCCTCCAGCTAGTTCATCGATCCCACCTCCACCACCTCCACCGGGACCACAGCAGTCACCAAACTCTGTGAATATCTCTGTGAGCGTGGGAACAACGCTGACCGCCAAGCCTGGGTTATGATTGATGGTCATGTCAAATTTGCAGACTTTTTCAAGAAGAGAGAGTAGAACATGGCAAAGGTCAAAAGGCGAGTTCTCCATGCGGTTGAAGATGGAGAGAGTGGTGGGGTCTGTTAGCATGTTAGGATCTAACGTGTGAGATCCAAACAGTCTGTGAGGTTGGGATGGCTCAATGGTGCTCATGGCATCAAGAGTGGGATGTTGCGATGCTGGCTGTGATGGATTGTTGGACTGGTGAAGCTGGCAACTAACACGAACGGCCGAACTGTGGAATCGGCGATGTTTGCTCACAGTATTTGTGGTCTTATCATCCGAGTTGGCTTCAGAATCTGATGTGGAAAGCTGAGATTTGCGTGCATCCCTCACAGAGTATCGCTGAGCTGTTCTACGTGAACGACGTGACTTCCAGGAGCCAGATAAATGCTTTCCAGAGTTCTCCACATCACATCTATCTTGCCCCGCCTTTTGAGGGATGGTCCTTCCCTCTTGGCATAGAAACACCTCTAGTAGTGAAGGCAGGGTGAAATCTAAGATAAAAAAAGCAGAGTAGGAATTTTAAATTGATTAAAATTATTGTCCTGAATAGCATCAACCAGTTATACTAACTGGTTTAATCTGGTTTCATCAGAGCAAGTCACGATGACCTCGATTGTCTGTTTACAACACAATTACGGGAACTAATAACTCAACAATGTGGAAAGCAGCTGCTAGAAAAGATTAGCATGCCTGCACTAAATACCTTAGGTCTCAAGATCAATGAAAAGTCTTATCCTTTCCATCATCCTTTAACCGTACTGTTTCATAATTCAAGACATCTCAAGGTTTCACTTGTTGTTCCTGTAGGCAGCTACTTAAAAATTAATGGCGTCCTCACAAGATCACTGCCATCATATGCTTTATAAAACAAACTGTGTAAAAGTATATCATCTTTCCAACTAAATGTAATCCCAGAATGTCATTTAATATTAGCACATAATTATTTCATTTAAGGTTTAAGGTGGGTTAGAGTATACCTCTAGTGCATTCTCAAATTTAAGACTGTTAATAGCATGCATTATTAAAGGGCTTTATAAAATGAAGTGACTCACCTGGGGCTTTCTCCTCCTGAACAGGAATCTTCCAGACCAGAGGTAGCAGAGACAACAAGAGTGTAAGCAGCTCTTCCCGACACGTCAACTCCTAAGTAAAAGGGAAGTTAATTCTGGATTCGAACTGAATTCTTCACTCAGTTTCTGCAAATCCAATCAAAAACCATCTCCTTGTGTTGATGACCACCTAGAAGCAGATTATTTTTCTCACTTCTGCTTCATAGTGCCCTGCCTCTCTTGGCAAACTAGTTTCCAGAGCTACGCAAAAGATGGACAATTGCAGACAACAAAACATTGGTATCCAGTGGTTTTCTTCCAACCGCTTAAGTAAAATGCAGAATTTGCTGGACATGAGGTACGACAGCAAGCCTCTAAATACTGGCTCCACCCTGAGCAAGAAAGCATTCCTCACAAGGAGAAGCGAAAGCACCCTGACACATGTGAATTAAAAGCAAATACAGGGGGCTGCGTGCCACAGAGCTGTGTGACCCCAGGTAAACAAGCATCTGGCAGCATACTCGTAAGCTAATTAGGAAAGTGGCTAGGGAGCCATATTGACCCACCACAATGCAAACACACAGGCGATTGATGTTGTGTTGAGAGATAGTTAAGCAGTGCCAAGTTCAGAGAAAAGGTTCATGTCTTGTAAGAACCACTCCAGACATGATTCATAAGAACTCTCACGTCAAAGAGAGAAACTGAAGGAGAGGCGGAAGAGAGGGGTCTGAAGGAAAACATGGGATCAAATAAACCACTTGTCATTTCCTTTGACATGACATCATCCCAAAAATTTTGTCGACAGATTTTGACTCACCTGTCTGTTTAAAAAAAATAAAAATAATAATAATAATACAAAAGAGTAATGCAATAACAAAGGATATGCACAGGGCCAGGCAATATTAACATATATTTAAAAGTCATTTGAATTAAAATATCATAACCACATCACTATGCTGTGTACTATGCACTATATCAAACACCACTATGCTGATCAAGAAGGCACAGCAGCGACTTTATTTTTGAAGGGTCCTGAAAAACAACGCTCTAGATCAGGGGTCGGGAACCTATGGCTCGTGAGCCACACCTGGCTCTTTGACAAAAATCATGTGGCTCACCAGATCTCTCACCCTTTACAAACAAATGATCTATTACAAAAATTATACATCACTAGAGATCAGCAACTCATTGGTTGTAGAGAATACATAAGCTGATAAAAGGTTTAAAATAATAATAAATTTTTTATACAGAAAAGTGCGCGTTCCGTGCTGTTCGCCTGAGTCACGACAGCAAACTGATAACGTAGAGCTAATAACTCAGATTCAAGCTGCTACGTAGCTTGTTTGTGGTAATAGCGAAAAGAAAGATTTTTTGAACAGCAGAAAAAGTGTAAAAGTATGTAAAAAAAAAAGTGACAGGACTGAAACATATACTTTGTTTTATAGAAGATGTTGTTCTCCTGTGCCAAGAGCCAGTATGAAACATTTCGCCGGTTACTTTGGCTTTTTCCACGCAGCTTTCAGCGGGTGGGACAGTTAGCGTTATTAAAGGGGTCATATGAAGCGATTTCAAGCTTTAGAGGTTACAAGCTTTTGGTGCATAAAGAAGATCTGTAAAGTTGCAAAGACTAAAGTCTCAAATCCAAAGAGATATTCTTTATAAAAGTTAAGTCAACCACGCCTACCTAAAACGGCTCGTTCTAACACGCCCCCACATGTCTACGTCACGATGTGGGAAGATTTGCATAACACCGCCCAAATGTTCACGCAAAGAAAGAAGGCGTAACTTTTATTCTCGCTGTTGTATTGTTGTTGACGCCATTTCGTGAAGGCGCTGTGTGTTTCGTTGTGAAAGCGAAATTACTTTGTTTAGCCTTCCAAAAGAGGATACAACTAGAAATCAGTGGTTAAGTTGTATTTACAACACTGTTCCAGAACAGTTCAACCCAAATATTCAGATGTGTGCAGCACATTTTATGGAGGACTGT